TCTAAATTTAATTAATTAATTAATTTAATCGTTTCCTGTCAGGAAAGTGAAATAATAAAAAATGTTTGTCGACTGATGTTTTTAATATTATTTAATTAAATAATTTAATTAATATTGATTTTGTTTATTAATTTATTCGTTTATTTATTTTTAATTAATTAATTTAATCGTTTTAAAATACATAAAATATATTTTAAGAGTTCATACTTATTCTACTGATATAAATGATGTTGAATTTGCGATTGACTTTTCTAGAATTAAATTGGATTCAAATTAAGAACGAGAGCAATAAATGTTAATAGAGATTTCATCGAACCTTTGCAATATTTGTTCAGCACCATGCCGTTTAGCGGTGCCCGTCGCACGCCGGCCGATCGTTGATTTAATGCGCCGCACCTGACGACGCGCTCTTAATGCCTTATGGTTGGACAGTTTCAACAATTCACTATTCAAAAACCATTATATATATATATATATATATATATATATATATATTTGTAAGTCGTAAATTAATAAACGTCTATTAATAAATTTGCTGTTACGTTCTACTTTCAGCAATTGCTGGATTATTTCCTCAATTTCCTTATTAAGAATATATATGTATTTCTATACTCTTGTTACGTCCCTGAATCGGTACCGTTATACCTGGCGGAGCGTTGAACCAGAAACCGGTGCAGTGGAACTACGACCGTCATTCCGCGATACACCACCGACAGGTGTACTTGAGTTCAAAAACAGTAGAATTTTATTGCTTATAAACTATTATTTTATTCCTGTGAAGATGTGTAAATAGCAGCGACACGGTAGGACACGTAATCCTTCGCGTATAGATTCCGTAAAATATACAATCAGGACGAGTAATCGCGCGATCGATCGATATAGTGAATAAAAAATGGATATTTCGTGACTTGTTGCTCCAAGTAGATAAACATGGAAAAAGTGAAGGAAAACGGATTGAACGATCGGGGAAGTAAAAGTGCGAAGAGCAAGCTCTGGGCTTATTTCTTCTGGCTCTTCGGTGGGCTCTTCGGTGCGCATCATGTATACCTCGGCAGGGACGATCAGGCGTTCGTGTACATCAGCACATTCGGCGGTTACGTGGGTTGCGGTTTTCTCAGGGACATTTACAGGATACCTGCGTACGTGGCCGATGCGAATGACGACCCGGCGTTCATTGAGGATTTTAAGCGGAAAGTTAGAGCCAATCGAAAGGTAAATAAATATTCGGCGCCCGAGAATTTAGAATTCACGGGCTAGGCTAAACGATTGACGTCAACGGTCCTGAAATACGTTTATTAACGTCAAGCTTACGACTTTTGTTTCGCGCCGTTGTTATTCGAAGACTTGATGACGTTGCGCGTTATCCGCGTAAATGTTGAGCTGCAAATTATTCGCTGATACGTATATACGTACAAGGATGCAAAGTGGGGAGAAACGTTGGCGAAATAAATGCAATTCGCAACTGACGCTTTGTAAACCGATGACAAAATCGGATTAATTTTTTTTTTATAGCCGCCGTTTTCCACGGTACGATTCGCGGCGGAATCCGCGGTCGCCTACTTATGGGCCGAGCTGTTCAACAGCGCGATTCCGCAGGAGGAAGTGTATGGGATTAATTTCAGGCAGCTGCTGATCCTAATACCAGCCGTGATCGCCCTAGGTAAGAATCGTATTAGAAATAAAAAGAATTACCGAACGCTCGTTAATTCTTCCGACATTAACGACATTGGTTTTCTTATCGCGCGCTCGTTAGGTTTGCTCGAATGATAATATATTTTAAGGTCACAGTATGTGACGCATATCGCTGGTTAAAAAAAATGACAGCATTATTCATGATAAATGGAAAAAATTATGGCAAATCCGACACTAAGTAAATCATTTTTGAGCTGCTTTCTGAGGAGTCTCGTTTGGCACGGTTGAAACGGATGTGTTCCGCTTCGCTCAGAGTACAATTTGCATCATATTTTTTAAATGAGTGACGAAATCCTCCGGCAGAGAAGGGCAAAATGGCTTTTGGAATCTATTGAAATAGAAAAAGTAAAAAACAGTTATAATCTTTCCATTTCAAAATATAAAATACAAAATGATTTTTAAACACCCATTTGAAATAAAACATAGAAAATAAATATTTTTGAAATGATTTTTTAGATATTTATTTTTAAATATTTAGCTTATATTTAGATTTTAATTTTCATTTTTTATTCTTAACATTTTTTACTACTATAACTTATTATAACATAATACAAATTTTTTATACTATATATATAAACTTAAAAGATTTATATAATATAAACTTTTATATACAAAAGATTTTTAACAGTCGAACGAGGGAATCTTTCATTTTTCTTCTCATAATTAATCCGCCATACGAGAAAAGGCCAAGGAATGTATAGGCTGGCACCACATAAGGCTGACAGCGTAGACACGGTCATGGGCTCATTCTCATTGCCCTAAGAGCTACCGCATGATATCCAATGAGCGTACAGATTGTTCGGAAAAGTTGCTCATTGGATATCGCGCGTCGCGTGCAACTTTAATCACGCTGGTCTGTTAAAACTATTGCCAATCTATAAACATACTTCAAATTTCAAATGAATAGTAAAAACCATTTAAATGAAAATGTAAAACAGTTTTTGAAAAATGTATTTTAAATACAAAATACAAACAGGCATTTTGCATTTCGTATTTCCATTTGAAATGCATCTATTTCAAATAATGCTCATCTCTGCCCGCCGCGTGACTTACCCGTGCATTGTATTCAGTTATACTGTTTAGCCTTCTCCCATCCAGATTTAGTGATCGTATTTTTATTTTTGTTTACACGCCTATGGGCTACATTAGATTGTAATTTGATCCGTGTCGACTCTTATCGAGAAGTTGGGAGCCATTAATTCTTCGAAGAAGAAAAAGCAGTTGTTTTCTGACGAGCTTTATTACACAGAGTATTATATCTTCAACGAAAGTATTTCTAGATCTAGATCTAGAATTTGTAATTTTCTTTAAATTCTTGTTAGAATACAAATATCGTATTTTACGATTCTATTAGATATTAAATATATAAATAATAAAATTATAACATATATAATATATATTATAATTATAGTTAAGTAAATTATAATATATATCCATAAAAAATAATATCCCATATATATAATTAAATTAAATAAATATATTATACATATATTATATAAATTTATATATATAAATAATATATTAAGTCGGTACAAATCAAATGACCGTTTTTCTTATTAAGTATTATAAATATGAAAAACGACCATTTTATTCGCACCGACCTAATATAATGTATAATATATTATTATTTATATAGAAGTAATAGATTATGCATGCAAACAATTAGAAAACAGAAATTTTAGAAATGCAGGCATTTTACGAAAGCCTTCATTCAGTATTAATACTTCAAAAGGTGTGTGGACGGTCGGAAACATCGGGAGAGAACAAGGTTCGATATGGAAAGCGCTTATCACAGCGTATCTGTGTTATCCGACCTTGTATTACATCGGCGACGATACAATGTGGATCTTCCTCATGGTGGTTGCCACGAGCCTGAGCTTCGACACCTTCAGCAAACAGTGGCGGCTGAAACCGAGGAAGAAAAGAGGCTTCATCCGGCGAATGGTATGCCTAGGCTTAGCGCTCATGCTCTACTTCGCCATGATCGGCAGCTACTTATACTTCAACGCGGTGATCACGGATAGCGAAGGCGAGGAGATCAAGCTGTCGGAAGCGGTGCAACACTTCCTCACCTCGCCCATCTGGACAGATCTCAAGGTAACGTCTACAAAGACTTGAAATTTTCATTCGAATAAAGGAGGACCGGTAAATGAGGTTAAATTCTGTCTCGCGATGGAATATAAAATAATCTTTAAAAATTCTTTTTTATTAAATCTTTAGAAGTACGAAAGAAACTGTCATTTATCAAAAAAATAGTGTGAAAATTGTAAGAATAACGCAACAGCTTTATTATTAGGCTTTAATATTAGTGCATACATAAAAATCAACAAAATCTGCCCTGTACTAACTTTAGGAAATTGCATCTGTGTAACCAAAATAAAGTATTTTGTATTTTTGTTATTTTAAAAATTTGTATTTTAATGATTTGAGATTTAATATTTATTTAATTTCTTTATATATAACATAAGTCATAATTAATAATAATAAATATAATCGATATATTCTCCTTATATTCAACTATGATTGATCAATTTCTACAGCTTCTAGCTTACGACTCGATATACGACGTATAATTATTGAACTGGCCTAGACAACTTATAAATAAAACAGTATCGGCGCGTATATTTGACATGAAAAAATGCAATTTTCTGTCTCCAAAAATTGGTATACGGCAGACTATTGGTTTCTACATATAAACCAATATTAAAACCAAATAGCTTACTGCGTTATTCTCGCAACTTTCCCACCATTTCTCGGATAAATGACGGTTATTTTCGTACTTCTTAAGACCTAAGGAAGGGTTTTTAAAGGTGAAAATTGAGGTTTCAATTAATGCGAGACATAATTTAGCTTTATTTACCGATCCGCCTTTCTTCAGATTTAAGAGATCTCTTTTCATGTCGATATTCTTTATTATGCAGGCGAGTCTGGAGGTCACGTGGAATCAGGCGAAGCATCAAGGTTTCTGGGCAACGTGGGGGCAACTGGTGGACCTCACGGATCCTTGGGGCGAAATAAACGCTTACAAGGTCGGGCAGTCGTTCGCGACGATTCGATTAGATTTGAACTTATTATCGATTCACTTAGGAAAAAAAGCGCTGTACACCTTAAACTAATTCTTCTTCATCTTCCGCGATAGGTCCTGGGTCTCTCACAAACCGCTTCGCAGAACGAAATCACGTCGCGATGGAGGACTCTGTCCAGGGACAATCATCCTGACAAGATTAAAGGCTCGGAGGAGGAAAGACGCATGGCTCAGGAGAAATTCATGGAGATCCAGCAGGCATACGAGATCCTGTCTCAGGCGAAGAATCGCCGGAAACGACGGAATCGCCGTTCCGAGCGTTCCGAAGAGTGAGCGCGCTTTTCGACGCGGGGGATCAATGAAGAACGAAAGAATCGGGACAAAGGAATCCCCAATCCAAATATGCCGATCCCCGTATCTCAACCGTGTGTAATCAAAAAAAAGGACAGTGCTTGATTAATAAGACATTTATTTAAACAACCATCTGACAGTATAACTGCATCGATATAAAATCTTGTACGTAAAACGCGTATATTATAAGTTAAGGGAGGGGGGGAGGGGGAGAGAGAGAGACGTGCGACACGCACATCGATCGCAAGCCCGCTCGACCATTTTTAACACTTTAATCGGTAAGAAACCCCCGAGGCCTCGCTTCGAGCTATACACACTCGCGGTTTCTGCAGGAAAATCAAACAAAAATCGAAATTCCGTTTACCGGCGAAAACCGACGAGGCGACTTCCCTCAACATGTTCATGTGATGTGTATCACGATCGTCCAACGCGATTGTCTTTAGGGTTTAGATCGTTCGGCTCTTGTGATCGTGACTTTTGCGATTGTAAACCGCGCTCGCGCGCCGCGTCGCGCCTCACGCGCGCTCCGCCGCACGTTCCGCCGCGCCGTCGCGCGGATCCATTATACAAGTCTAAAACTAAAAATAAGATTCGACCGTCCCGAATGTTTATACGCCCGGCCGCGGCGGTTTACATCGAAAACAATCCCGAGTACGCGGGCCGTAAACATGACAACACTTTAGCAGCAGCCGCACGCCGACTGGAAATCGTGCGGTGATTTATCGAAGTCTCGAAGGTGCTCCCTTTCTTTTTTGCCTCCGCGTCGCGAAAACCACCAGGTCCTTCTCGGGTGACAAATGCATCGCTAATATTTCTCGGCGAGGTAAAAACGAACGATCTATACGGTCTACTTGAGGGACACCGCGGACTCCGGACGACGACGATGAATCGACCGGTTGCATCAGGCAACAGCGGAATCGAATAACACGTAAATGATCTCAAATAGATCACAAACACTCTTGTCCGTCTCGCTGCTTTTATTACGTCAAGCAGACTCGAGTAATCTCTCCCCTCGCGCGTGTTTTAACGCGAAGCGGACGACTATAAACGCGGCACGCGTGCAGGTCGTCGCGACCGCGAAAGCTTTACGTTCGACTACTTGCTCTTCTTCTTCGAGCGTGGCGGCTTTGCGATTGAGTTTTCAATCTTATCCGTGAAATTCGTCCCGTACTTTTCCGAAGTCTTCTCCAGGAAGTCCTGCTGCGAAACCAATGTTACCCTGAAAAATGTTATGGATTTTTATTTCTCGTTTTCTCGAATATAGTTTAGAATCAAAATTATTTATTTTTATTGAAGTATCTAAAAATTTAGCTAGATACAGATCTGAAAATATAATTTCGTTGCACCAACAAAATACTTGCGTAGAATGATTAACCTTTAAACTACTATATCGGTCTCATAGACCGCTATTGAAACGTTACTTGTCAACCATTTTCTTATTTGTCACCATTTAAATATATTTTATTTCTTGTACACAAGATTTTTTTATTAACCCTCACATTAAAACATAATTTTCTTCTTTCCCATCACAAATATTTAGAAAAAATACATTTTTATTATACTTAATTTATAAAATTAGTGAGAGTATAATAGCGAGAGTACAATAGGTCTGTCAGACCGACAATGTGGTTAATGTAATTTTTTAGAATGTGGTGGCTTAAAAGTTAAGCGTATAGATGCAAGACGATGCTAAAAATTTTAATATTCTAACAATCAATTTGAGCATCCCACATAATTATTTTGATCCGAACAAAATTATTTCCAATCTGTAGCTAAATTTCTAGACACTTTAACAAAACTGTTCTATCTATGTATCCATTACTAAATGTAATTTTTATTTAAAGAAAACATTCGAAGAATATTAATGTTTCAATGTTACTTTTTGAAGCTTGTATAATTTAATAAACATTTTAAATTTCGTAACAAACATTGTGAAGTTTTCACTCGTTAAGAAAAGATGCGATAAGATCATAAAGCAGATCCGCTCGGCAAATATAGCTCAGAAAGTTTTAGTTTCTTGACAGAAGGTCGCACCTTAACTGGGGCACGCTCAACGGTCGCAGAAGACTTTTTACAACGGGTGACGGCTTCGGCAGAGCCGGACTGCTCGCGCAGAGAGCCGCGCTGGTGAGTTGCGACACCAGGGAGAAGGTTCGATCCGGGCTGGAGGTGGTGCGGAAGACTTTTCTTATTTTCGACTTCAATCCCGAGGATTGCGGCAGAGGCGTCGTAGGTATAGGCGTCACCTGGCATATAGTTTGCGTAAGGATTTACGTCTCTTCCGGACGAATGGGATCCGATTACGAGGAGGCTCGCGTGCGAGAACGTACCTTTCCTTGTAACACCTTCGCAGCCAGCTCGGGCTCGCTGCCCCAACGACAGGACGTCGTTCTCTCCAGCAGACGATGTCTCGCGAATCTCTCGATCATCTCGGCGCACACGTACCTGCCGCAAAACCTCGCCCACTGTTCAGCTCTCAGGCCTCGACCGTGATCGCGTAGCGTAGGATTTGCACCTAGGAATTCACGAAAATAATTCTCAAGTAGCGTAAGTGAAATTTAATAAAACAAAAAGAAAATTTCGTGAGCCTTAATTTGTAATCATATTTTATATAATACTAAAAAAATAATTCTCAAGCGTAAATGAAATTTGATAAATACATAAAGAAAGAAATATTTTTTGATCTTTTGTAATCACATTTTGTATTATCACTAATCAAATACTATTTATTATCTGAGATTATTAATTATTGTTGTATTTATTATTATGTTATTATATTACGTACATTATAATAATATAGATTAATTATTACTATCTTAGATTATTATCAGATTATTAATTAAAGTAAATTAAGGCTAATTAAGATTATATACTGAATTACTTGCGGTCGGGCTGTACACGGACTTATCAAATTACTTTTATTGCTTGGAGCAAATTTTAGAACTGTTAATTAATTGAGACTGAAGTGCTTGCTCACCGGCGAACAGGAGAATCTTCGCGCATTTGGTTCTACCTTGAAGGGCGGCCTTCATGAGCGGCGTGAAGCCCAAGGTATTTCTGGCGTCCACCTCGATGTCCGGACACCTCTCCAGAAGGATGTTGAGACATTCGGTCTGTCCTGTCCGCAGACACACGTAACAGAGAACATGTATTGACATCATCGGTGCCGTGTTCTCTCGTGCACCGCGTGCGCGAACCTCGTATATTTCATAACCCGCGGTGTTTTGGCTCGGAACGTTTTTCGGCACGCGTCATCGCGGAGCCGCGCGCTTGTTGCACGAGGTTCGCTTCGATGTATCCCGCTATTTTCGGCGATTGTGCGACGCGATGGGATCCTCGTGCCATGCCGGCGCGATAATTCTGCCGGCAGATTTGGCATTAGGCTTAAGATCGCGTTTCCAGCGTTTCCCGACGGCCCTTATCGCCACTCTCTGCACATTTCTCTCCCCATTTGCGTAACGTCTAACGTAAACGTCTAACGGAATCTAGAATAGCTAGTCTTAAAGGACATTTACGTTTGACAGACAAGTAAGTGGATTACCTGATTTAACGCCGATTAAAGAACTCGTCGTTTCTCTCTTTATTTAAATTAGATTTTTTTGTAAATTTTTTCAATCAATTAAAATTTATATTTTTCTATGCCGTACGGGCATAGAAAATATAAATCGTCGTCTCTCTCTTTTTTAATAGATTCTTTGTAAATTTTTTAAACTAATTAAAACTTATACTTTTCTCTGCCATAGGCATTCAAAGAAATATATGCAATTAAAAAAAGTTATTGCAAAATATGAAAAATACGAATCTCATTATTGCAAAATGTGAAAAGAAGGTACGAATCTCATGACCATTTACTTTTTAATACGGCCATTTGTCATTTTCTCACTTTATTTCGGTCTTTATACGTCGCGTCTGAGTCATAAAGTTAAATATAAGCATCCCCTGAACTTTACCCTGTTATTTCTTTTTATGTTCACGATTAATCCGCGACTGCGACGGATGTATATACAGTTGTTTTGCGGCCACGTGGCCACTTGCCTGCCGAGGGGAGGATGATTACACGGCGGAAAAAGAAGCAGAGATAAACACCACGGGGATAAATTATGTTCCAAACCACTCCCGAATGTGAACGCGCGCATTTTCAAGATTCCTGTACGAAAACTATAGCGCACCCTCGACGCCTACTCATCGCTACGTTTTCGCGCGTACGATTGATGCAACACTTATTCTTGTCACTTTCTCTATGAATAAGTGCGCGCCAGCCTACTCTCGCACCTCGCCAGGTTCACTTTTGGAACATCGGTTATAATTGCCGAAGACGATATTTCGAGCCTCGTAAAAAGGGGAAAGGAAGCGAGAGAGAAAAGCGTTTAATATCGATATTTCATTACTCAAACGATCTAATGTCCCTGCATAAATAAGACTAAAGATTGAGATTGAGATCAGATTATAGTATTTGACTGATAAAAGCAAAGTTCACTAAACTTGAGATTTTCTCTTCCATTACACGGAAAGAACGATTTTGTTGAAAGATCTAAAAATTTTGCTAAATATACAGATCTGAAAATAATTTTTTGTTCATCAAATCATCAAAATAATTTGTTCGAATGTACAAATTGATAAACTGCTATAAAACATTTTGTTATTCCAGCAATCATTATGACTTTCGCACAAAATTATTTTGATTATTGAAGAAAAATTATATTTTCAGATCTGGATCCAGCAAAATTGTTCTTTCCATGTATAATTGATTAAATTCCTGCAATCCAAACTTAATCTCGATCTTTTTAGTCTGATACGGGCTGCATAACAGTCAGATACTTGGACGCGATATCTCTGTAACGGCGGCGCTGGCAGCGATATTATTATGCTGAACGTTACTAATCGCACTGGTCCACCGGATATTCCGGGAAACGGATTCCCGGAAAATCGTGGGATCAAACGGATTGATTTCCCGCAACGTCATTGACATTTTCCGCGGCAAAACACGTTATATATGTACATACGCGCGTATATATCGCGGTCTCGGCAGAACCGCGGCCGCGGGCAACTCGATGTCCACCATATGACATAATTCGATCACTCACCGGCCTGGGCGGCAAAATGGAGCGGCGTGTTACCCTCATTGTCGGGCAGATTCGGGTCCACGCCTTCGAAAGAGAGCGCCAGCTCGAGCATCGTCGCCGCGCCGTTCCCCGCCATGTAACTTACGGCCGTCTGCAATGGCAAAAACAAATAATTCCCCCGGGTTTAGTTTGCGCCCGAAAGCATGCCCGATTACGTAAACTCGCGCGTTTCGATCGGCGAACATTATTCATCCCTCGCCCCTCCGGCCGCGCCCCGCGCGCGGCCGCGCGCCGTACAACCGTCAATGCCTCTCTTTCACGGCGTTTGACCGTGACATGAAAAATCGCGCGGCGTTATACGGCGCGCATCTCGCGGATTTAATCCGCTAAATCCACGCGGATGTGACGAAACGCGTAATGGGACGAATTTTAAATTGAAAACGCCAACGTTCCGCTGATCTCTCGGCCACAACTGGATTACAATTTTTTTTCCCCCCATCGAGAGAAAATGATTCTCCTATAGCGCTGGAATCACTATAATATACGTATGTACGCATATCCCCGACATATGTGGAGTTGTTAATCGGATTTACTGAATGCCGCGTTTCGCCTATTGTTGCTACACTCGGCTGACGTGTAAATATGTTGAAAAGGGAATGAATATCGCGTTTTATATCGAGCGATCGTTGAGAAGTATGACATCCCGTAGGAAGACGTTCTCGTTCCGCCATTGTTTGCCGCCGCCACCGGCACCGAGATGCACAATGGACTATCCGTTAAGAATCAATTTATTAAGTGGCTATTGACGTTCAAACGTTATTGCTTTACTTGCGTCAGCGTTGCGCGCCGGTATACAAACAGACGTTGAAACACAGACTGTGCTAACATTATACGCTCGGCAGAAGACGCGTTTGCCTTGAAGACGACGCGCGAATTGTAAATCGGCAAACACTACGGGGCCTATTTCGTTCGTTCCGAACGAAAAAAAATACACGCGCGGATTGAACACTTACTTTTCACATTTTCCTCAATAAAACGTTGAAAGCCAAGATATTTTTTTATAGGTTTCCTCAATAAAACGTTGAAAGCCAAGATATTTTTTTATAGGTTTCTATTATTTAAATGAATACAATTAATAATTCGCGACAAAATTCTTTATTAGACGGTATAAATAAAATTAAATAAATCTAATATAATAATAAAAATGAAATAGATATAAATATAATAATAAAATTATATAAAATTTTTTACCGAGTTCTGCCATCAATTACGAATTGCCTAAGTAATTCAAGATTAGGTTGAACTACTCAAATTAAATCGAAAAATACCGTTCACACAATTCCGTGTTACTAACAATGAAAATTAAAGCTATTATTTCCATCAGTATATCATTTCCAACGCTTCAGTTATTTTTGCACGTAGCGTGCCGACCTCGCGCGAATTCTTTGATCCGCAGCCTCGCTGAATCATCGCCGGCGTCCGTCTCGTGTCACTTGAGGAAATCGCGTATATCTTTTCGATGCCGCGCGCGCGTCAGGGTTGATACGTAACCGATCGCATCTAGTTGACGGTGGCGCGTAACCGATCGGGAGCGCGCAGTTTCTCGACGCGCGCATTGTAACGTATGTGTCTTTCCCGCGTCCACGTGCGCGACCTTGGTTAACGGCGACGGGAGGGGGCGAGGGAGGGCCTCGGGGTTATCCGTCACGATTACACGGGACACCTACATTAAAGCTTCCCTTCGTCCCGGCCTTTAGTGCAAGCGCGTTCGCCGCGTCTCCACGAAGGACGACCGCATTTCTATCTACGCGGGGAGAGGAGAGACGGAGGGCGCGAGATCCGACTTTAATTGCGACGCGACACCGCCGCATGCGGAATGCGGTCGCGGACGCTCCCCGCGGGCGGCGACGCGGACGGATCGAGATTACCATGCTTTCGTATCGATCCAGGGATTGCGGGGAAATACGCGTCGTCGGTCAGTTCGGAAGTTCAGAGGACACGCGCGCGCGCGCGTAACGTCCTCCTCGTCGAAGGAGCCGTCCGCGATCTTCGTCCTTCGAACCAAGAATCGCTCGATGATAACGAACGCGAGTCGTCATTGGGACGTTAAACTTCTCGTATCATGAGCGTCCTTCGAGACGACGCTAATTACAGCGTCTAGTCACATCGCATTACGCGAACTCCCGTCACTCACTCGCTCACTTTTTTTTGCTCCCGGCAACGATTGCCTTTTAGCTTTTTTTGGTATCTAAACGTCGCTAAACGACACCGTGCGCATGAAACAAACTCGTTTTTCCTTCGTTTTAATCTTCGTTTCACCGTGCTTTAATTGGAAGGTAATGTGCTTCTCTTCATACGCGGAAGATTTATCACTTCTGCAAGTACATACATAACGTCTTAAATTTACTACAGTCCTCAATCTCCGCGCATCACGGGTGGAAGCTTTTACTGGCGAAAATTAATTCTACATCTGTTAAAAAATATAGTCCAATTCTTGGCACGCTTGTTTCAGATTTTTATCTATAAAACGTCATACGGCGTAAACTGAGTTTATACACAATAAAATTAAATACAATACAATTGTATTTAAAGTATTTTTTTTTCATTCAATTTATATGCTTCAATTGGAAACATGTTTTTTTTTTCAAACAAAAAGAGATTTAGATTTGTGAAGTGGTGTCTTAAATTTATTGAATGTCCTTAATCCTTGCGCGCCAGAGATAAAAAATTCTTTTACTGTAAAGAATTAATTCTAGGTTTGCTAAGAGATACATTCCAGTGATTTTCCCAAACAATATAATGTACATGGTCGTGGACATTATCGGTTGCGACACTTTTTTTTAATAGATTTCGAAACGCACTAATTTTGCAAATGCTAATCACGATTGGTGTACTACCTCTAAAGATAATAGATCATCATGGTTCGCATTTGCAAAATATTAGTTACCTATAAAATATATTTTATATATATTAAATATATACTAGTGTCGCAATCGATATGTCCACGACTGTACATACATTTCCCTTCAATTTACATGCTTCAATTGGAAAGTAATGTTTTATTTTTTTTTTTTCATACAAAAAGAGATTCAGATCTGTGAAATGAAGTAAACTGTCATAAATTTATTAAATGTCCTTAATCCCTGCGCACCACAGATAAAACAAACTTTTACTGAAAAGAATGAATTCTAGATATATTTCTCGCGTTTTTCTCAAACGATATCATGTACATACATTTCCCCTCAATTTACATGCTTCAATTAGAAAGTAACATGTTTTTTTTCATACAAAAAAAGATTCTGATCTGCGAAGTGAAGTGTCTTAAATTTATTAAATATCCTTAATCCCTGCCTGCCACAGATAAAACAAACTTTTGCTGAAAAGAATTAATTCTAGATTTGCTAAGAGATACGTTCCAGCGTTTTTCCTAAACGATATCGTGTACATACATATACATTTCCCCTCGGAACGCAACCAATCTTATGCCTCTCGGGGCGCGATTTTACACCCGACTTGCTGCAGAAGCGGCAGGCAATTCGGTACTTTTCCACGAGACTTATACATGCACGAGGGGATCACACGTGGGCGCTAATGAAAGCACCATGAGCATGGAATTTTTGCCGACAGTCCGCGACGGACTGTGATGGTCGAATCCAGTTTCGTCGGATCGATCCTCTAAACATGCTTAATCTACACGTCGGCCGGAAAACAGCCTGGTATAATTATACAGAGTTTCGTCAGCAATTAGAAAAGTTCACCATCATGCCAGTTACGCCGATTATCTGATCGAGATGCACCGCAGTACGAAGCAGCACGAAACACACCGAAAATTCTCTTTAGGCCAACATGAAGATCCTTTCCAAAAAAAAAAAAACACTTAAAAAGACAAGAAAAAAGTCATAACACTGTTCAGTCTTGCTCTAAACGTCGTCTAAACTATTCACGAACACGATTACGTGACTATAAAATCAAATCATGTTAGTGTTTTATTTTTTTTTGCGTTGCAAATAAATTAATTACTATGATTTTTAGATAAGATTTTTATGTTAGTATTATGCCGGTATTATCCTCCTTTAATTTCAACGAGCTGAGAAAAAGGACAGAGCAATATGCGTGAGTATAAAGTATTCATCTCGAGACTTAACTCCCGACCGTCGGCAATCAATCGTCGAGCGGCCCGCAGAGGCTTGCCCCAGCAGTTGCGATGCATTTTTGCATAACGCGAATAAGCGAAAACTCGCCGCGCCTCCGTCGGAATCACCGGAGTCCCAGTCGGGCAATTTAAAAATAGATCCATTCGAAGGCGAAATTTGTTTCCTGCCGTCGCGCACTACTCGCTCGGCCTTAATTGCACTTTCATCGATCGCGAATCGCGCGCTGTTAATTACGGATCGCCGCCGGCTTTCCAATCCGTCGGATTCGTTTAGCGTGAGCCATTTCGCCAAAACGACCATCACCCGTTCCCAGGCTCCCAGGTTTCGGAAGAATCTCGAACTAAATTCGGCCGAGCCGACGGTGAAGTGATTATTCGTGATTCTTTTAGGCCGCGGTCATTGAATGTAACAATATTCAATGATTCTACGTATATTTTTCTTGTTTCCCATATTTTTCTTACGCTTTCCCATATTTAATTCTTTCCGTCGATTCGCAAAAATTTCGTTTTTTTTTATAATTTTACTCACAATTTTTTTCACAGACGCACGTATCACGCCGCGCCACACACTATCCGTTTAACGGAGTAAACGGGAGTATCGTAAAGCAATTTTTAAATTAGCCGAGCGCAACGGCAATTAGAGGCTAATCCAATTAATTAGAGAATTTCGTACTCACCCTCCCGCTACTGTCGACCACGTTGACGTCCATGCCTTTCAGGCCTACCTTCCGAGCCTGCGCGACGATTTCCTTGAGACCGTTGTCGTCCGCCTCTCTGGCGGCCCTCAGAAGGGCCGTAGGGCCCCCGGAGGGTATTTCCCACGAGGGCGGCACTTTTGGTTTGATCGTCTCTTTGCGTACGTGGTCTGCAAGATTTATATTCATACTCTTGAACATTTCAAAGCTAATATAACTAGTCGCGCGAGCAAGTTTTATTAGATTACTTGCGCAACTGTAACTGTTTAATGTGGCAGAATTTATTATTGGGCAACACATCAATTTCATATGACAGACTATACGCTTTGAAATTCTCCAAATCTCATAAATTACAAACTTTAAAGCTTGTCATATTTTTAGACGAACTCTTTCGCTATTAAATTGCACGGACATTTATTTCACGTAAAGGAAAATCACAAATTGCTTACTGATATAAATTTGTGTCCGCGCCAGTTTATTAAATTAACGAAACCCAATTTATTAAGATAACGTCATTTTTGTAAATTTTTGTCAAAAATTTTCATATTGATCAGAGTACCAGCTTGCGTGAAACGAACGTTTATCGAGACACAAACGTTGTTCTTATCAGTTGGTGCATTTTATCAGTGATGTCACACAGTGATGTCGGAATCAATTTGTCGGCGCTAATAAACGACGCGGTACATGTCATGTATTTGCAAAAAGTTTGTGCAAATAAAAAATCGTTGGCAAAAATAAGCGTCGCATATACGTAAAAGCGATGATCCGAATATCTTGCATCGCGTTGGTGCGTAAAGTATTATCGGATTTTAAGTGACTCGTAATTTATCTTTTGTTGAAAAAGTAGCGAGAGAGACAGTTGAATAAAGTAAATCTTTAATTAAAACTTTAATTAATTAAAACAGTCAGACGTACGATTCAGTAAGAACTACGTGCTGACGGAAAGAACGATTTCGCTGGAAAATCCAAAAATTCTGCTGAATACAGATTTGAAAATGATTCTTGTTGGACCAAAATAATTTTATTGGAAAGTCAAACTGATTGCTGAAATATCAAAACGTTTCACAGCAATGCTTATTATTTTTGAGTTTCCAACAAAATTATTTTGATGATCTAACAAGATTATTTTCAGATCCAAATTTTTTGACCTTCCAGCAAAATCGTTCTTTCCACGTGTAAAATTTGCGAAGTCGCCATCGTGCGAACGCCTGCACAGCGCCCGGAGCTCACCTTGAAGCACGCCCTTGCGGTAGACCCTGGCCTCGTGGACGGCAGGCTTCCGGTACGGCGCGCGTTTTTCCTCGAAGCTGGTGTCGGAGCTGAAGGACACCGACTTCTTCACCCCGACGCCCTTCTTCTTCAGGCTCGTCGATAACGTCTGCACGCTAGGCGACGGCCGTAGGGCGCACAGTCCGCGCGCTTCGTCGTCGCCGTTCGTCAGGATCGAGAAGTATCCCCTCAGGCCGGCGTATCTCGAGGACGTGGAGCCGTGGCGCGGCTCGTACAAGCCGTTCGACGGCCCGAGGAACCTGGCCAACTCGTCGTCCGGCGAACTCCTCTCGGCGAGTCCGCTGGAGGGATGGTGATGCGCTAGACTCGCCAGGAAGGCGGAAGACCTCTTCAGGATGCCCTCCTCCGGCACTCGCCGCAACGTTCTCTCCCTCACTGGAAGACCTGCGGGAGTCACGGCGCTATATTTGGCCGGTAGTGTTGCTCCCCGAGACGTCTCTCGCAGCGTCTCTCGGCGGCAGCCTGCAGTTCGCAGGCTTAAATAGACGTATATCTAGCGGGCGCGTCTCGTGCGTCGTGGGGTTTGTCGTGAAATATTTTCGCGCGAAGCGAAGTTAAGCGGATCGTGGGGGGATGGAGATCGCGTGAGCACACAGAACTTCGCGCCTTCGTTAACAGGGATCGATGCGCGCGACCGAAAGTGAATATTTATTTTGTTTCGTTCTAGCCCGAACTGACAGTTCGCGACGCGTGCATGACGCGCGCGAGTTTTAGAAAATTAGATTCATATAAATAGAAAGGTGTCCTCTTTTAACTTTGAAACAAACTATTGGATTCCGGTGAGAGATTTATAATACGTTTATTTCGATAATTAACTTGAATTTGTTTTATATCGAACGGAATGCTTTCATTAGATTTTTAAATGAAAATAGCTTATTTCCGTTTAGTCCCGTGCACGAAAACGAGTTCGGCGTGTCGGGAACCGTTATTCGAAAAGGTCCTCGGTGGTAAATGGGTGATTTCGTTTGAAATTCTAATCAGACGCTACGAAATATGTGATTTTGATATTGTTGTCTCGTCGGTGGTAACTCGTGCCCGTGAGGCGCGAATGGGGCGAAAATACAAATTATCACGGCATGCACGTCAGCATCGTCACATTTCCACAGCCAAGTAGTCATTAGGTGGATATAGATAGTACAGGAAATTAACTTTTCCGTCGAAAATAATTCTCGGCGCAGCTTTCGGCGCATATTTAGAATAGCTGATGACGATAATCTCTCCGTCCAAAACCGAATAAGAAGAATGATGTTGACTATGCTTAGGTATCCAAAAAGAAAACGAAATAAATGATTTCAGCACAAACTTACAAAATATAAAAAAGCTAACATTTCCGTAAATAATAACCGTAAATTTATGTGAAGAATTTATGCGTATTTGTTAAGAATCTTGAGCAACATCGACATTCATTATTTAGCTGGAGTTTCTTTTATAAGAGAAATACAAAAAATAAAAAGACATAAAACAGATTAACAAATAATAATAGGCGACATACAATTTTCGATACAAGTATCGATTCTTGTTAATTTAGTTGGAGTTTCTTTTGTAAATAAAGTAGCAGTTATATTTTAATGAAAAAAATAAAGAGTATAAAATCGATAAATAATAATAAATAATAATAATAATAGTAGGTGACAAATAATTTTTGTTAACAAGTATCGCAATACTCATTAGATACTGAAATTTCTCTCTTAAAAGGAAATATAAACAGTTACATTTTGATAAGTGCTAGTTTTGATTTAAAAAATAAAAAGTATAAAACAGTTAATACATGATAACTGGCGACATGTAATTTCCGTTGGCAAATTTAGAAATTATGCAACGCACCTTCCTTCAAATCCTTCGGTACGGAAGCGGACTTGATTATACCTCGTTGGATGCCCCTTGAGATGCCCGGTCTTGCCGGGTCCTTGGACACGTCCTTCGGCTTCCTCGGCTCCTCTGCGGCGAGGATGCCGCTCCGAGCGATCTCCTCCTTGGAATGGATCCTCCCGTTTACGATCGACGACGTTCGTCTCTTGGTAGTGACGCCGGTCGTCGTCGTCGTCGTCGACGTCGTCTCACTCGCGGCGCGGTTATTTCGAGCAAGTTCGCCCCTAGACGCGACGATGCTGTAGTTGTTGACCACGCAATAGGCAGTGCCCGACGATGTGCATTTCACGCGTCTGCGTGGGCCGCTTTCTTGCCACCTGGCCTGCTCCTCGAAGATCCGTCGGACTTTCTGCCGGGCGACACGGAAATTATTTCTTGGATGAGAGAAATCGAAATTCACATATATTGATCGGTGACCTTAAACTCGCATCGTTCTCGATCGGAAACTCGACTCGATTAGCCTCAATAAACTCAGTAATTTACTCAATGAACTTTATTGTTTATCATCACCTGAGATTTCAAATCTCTATTCAAAATTAAGATATATTTTTGAGTTTTTGAGGTCTCTAGTTTTGCATAATCTAACGGACTTGTAACTTTAACAACAGAAGTGAATTTTGGCTGGAGAAGTTATTTTAATTTTAAATCAGCGACACACACATTCAAAAATTACAAGATCCATTACTAAATATCCCTAACTTTTTTATCTTCTCCTAATTATCATTAAAGAATCGTCTCGGTCGAACGCAATTTGGCACGCTCGGTGCAGAGTTTTTTCTTAACGATGAATATCGACGCTATAATATTTACGAATCGCGCGTACGTGTCACAAGCGACTCCCAAGTTCGTTTCACAACACGAACTTATTCACTCACATCACGAGTCGTTCACCGAATGCCGTCGCGCGGATACCGCAAAAAGCGATTAACGAATTCCGCGCACTCCGAATTAAAGGAGGGACGGTTCTCCGCTCGCCAAGAGATCCCCGATCCCCGTTCCCCCTCGATCGCGCGTCGACCGATCCGATCGTTTGGACCCGCTCCAGTCGCTTTCCGCGGTCCTCCTCGGAAAGCGACTCGCGCCTTCCTGACGGGCGTGATCACGCAAGACGTACACGCGGGAAAGTTCTAGCCGGCTCTCTTTAAAACGGCGCTATTTATACGTCAGTTAAGCTCTCGCGTCGGTCGGTGCCTCGTGTGCGCACTCGTACACACGCGCGTTATTAAGTCGGCGAATGCGAGCGACACACACTCACGTATATACGTTTTCCTTATACGTTCACGAGCGTCTTCGTGGCGGAGCGTCATCCGTTCACGCGCTCGCACGCCTTCGGCACTTCCCCGGAGGCCTCGTGAATCGCGAAGAATAATTAGTGAAAAAAGTCTATAAACCTGCACAGAGTAATTTCGGTTAAACTTTAGAATTCTCAGTATAGCCGCGGTAGCGAATATTTCCAGAATTAAGTAAACGCGCGATTTGTTCTGAAAACAAACGATAAAACTGTCTAAACAAAGTCTTCGTTCTGTCTTTAACAGCCGGCAATCGTAATGAATTTTTATTACAAATCGTTGAAATTTCTTAAATGACGCTAAATATTTATTTGTCGATATCACGATCGTGCTGATGAGAGGAAATGCTTTTCTTTGACAATGCCTCATAACAGCTATCGTCGCACGTTAGAGATACACCGTGTATTTACGTTCGAGAACACCAGAAAGTTCGTCGAAACTGGGAAGTAACTTACTTCGGGAGCGAGATCTAGATCGCTCCGCTCGAAGACGCCGCGGCGAAGTGTAAGCTTATTGTTACGGCGTCGCGCGTGTGCCGCACAAACGCGCGCCTGTCAACGCCGGCCGCGCGGCAACTTCTTCTCCTCTTTTTTTTTTTTACTGAATAATCACAATGTTGTGTCTAACTTCGCGGCCGGTTGAATGTCGCGAGAAAGACAGAGAGAGAGAGAGAGAGAGAGAGAGAGAAAGAGAGAAAGAGAGAGAGAGAGCGTCCGATATCGCGCGCGGCGACACTTTGCGACGGAGTCGCGCGTTCCCGCGAGATACGACTACCGCTCTTCGCTCTCCCGAGGCCGCGAGACGTCGCGCGACCGACCCGTCGCGTCGTCGACGTGATACGCGTCGACGTAATGAAAACGAGGATGCACGGCAAGAGAGTGAGAGAGAGAGAGAGAAAGAGAGAGAGGAGCTTACTTGCTGAGTGGTGGTCGGTTGTACAGTGGAGACAACGACGTTGTTGTCGCTCCTATTGGTAACGCCGCCGGTGACCATGGACGTGGTGGTGGTTTCATTGCTCGCCGCATGCTTCACCCTACGGCCACCTACCATCGTCGAAGGTCGGGTCTCCGTGATAGGCTGGAAGAGGCTGCTATTGGCAATTCCGCTCTTACGATTCCGAATAATAAATTCGAGGATTTGACGCCGCGCCGGCGAGATTCGACGCCGGCGTTAAAACGGGAAGGGAGGGAGGGGGGGGGGTGGAAGAGAGGACGAGGAAAGGAGAACTCCGATAATTACCAGGAATTTATTTTTTCGAATTACTTTTCCTTTCTCCTCGCTTCTGTGTAGGTTCAGTCGTGAGAGATCGTGAAATTCAACGGGGAGAAAGGAAGAGCCAGTGTTCTATATCAATAGAACCGACGGATAGGCCATTTGTTAGGATTCTTTTTCCCGGTCCGCGAGATTTATGCTCGACCGAGAAACTTAACGGTGTGCCGCGCGCGGACGCTGTGATATAAATTAAAACGCACTCACTTGAAGAGGTACACTTTTTTTTTTAATCACCGTTAGAACTCGAATCAAGTTCCCCTGTCACGCGAACGTCGTGATTTCCTCCGAGGCGAGTCGGGAATCGCTTCTTCAACCTACATTTCTTTTTATTGTTCCACGACTCATCGACACATACGCTGAAAATTATGAGGCACACGTGACCGAAGCTCGAGCGAGAAATTCTATTGATTATCCTAATCCGTATTATATACTCCTTGTTAGATTGAATTAAGCTTCATTCGCAGAGAGAAACATTTCTTTACAGTTCAATCAGTTCTGTTTGACTTACATTTATTTCATTGAAACGATATACTTTAAAAAAAAGAACATTTTCTGTTAAATATACATTTTTCAGTTTTGTTACTTTAAATTATATTGTTTGGCAGAAACAACCCCAATTGTTTGAAACAATATTTTTCGAAATTCGTTAAACTTAACGAAATCTTTCTCTCTGTGTTGCAAAATAATGTCTAATGTGTTCATTATTTTATAATAGCTTAATCATATTTTATCATTCTTGTTAATACATATTTTATATAATCTATATTATATTTGATTTTTCACATTTCTTTTGTTATTTTATTCGTTATTATTATTGTATGTACTAATAAGCATATTAATTGGCTTTACATAAAACATACGTCACACTTAACAGATACACGGTGAGTTTTCTGGGAGATTATTTTAGAATAGACGCGCCTTCCAAAAGAACATGGAAAGAACAATTTTGCTGAATCCAGATCTGAAAATAATTTTTGTTTAATAATCAAAATAATTTTGTGCGACAGTCAAAGTGATTGCTAGAATATCAAAACGTTTTATAACAATGCTTATCAGTTTTAACATTTCCAACAAAGTATTTTAATGATTCGACAAAACATTATTTTCTGATCTGTTTTTCAGATCTGTTTTTAGCAAAATATTTAGATCTTTCAACAAAATCGTTCTTTCCGTGAACGAATTTCCCTTTTCATTCGTACCCTTTTTGGGCTTTCTAATCAGGCAAATGCTACATTTTCGCCGACGAGAGCGCGTTTCGCGGATCGAATTGCTCCCTCCCTTTTTTTCCCTTCATACTCGCCCGACTCGCCGGCGCGGCGCGGCGCGGCGTGCCGTTAACTTCACGGTCGGCGGAAATTACTCTCCAAATCCGAGGCGAAAAGCGAGCGAGGTGATTCCGACGGTGAATCCAACTTCACGGGGGAGTATCCGTATAAAATCGCGCTCTTTCATCTCCCGTATACGCGCGCATCGCGGTTTATTTCGGCGCCGCGGCACAGAGCGTATTATCCTGTCATCGTACAGGCCTCTGGCCGTCCGCCAATATTTTGAACTTTCAAATGTACACCGGTTTATCGATCCTCCTTCGACATTTTTGGAGGACACTTGCCGCGAGCGAGCGGAGAGCGCGCGTGAACAAAGAAGAAGCCTTTAAGCAGAAGCTCCGTCCAAAATCCCGTCATCAATACTCTGAAATTTCTTTCACTTTTTCCCGCCTGACTTCAGCCTTTGTGTCTTGCGCCGACAGAATTTTAAATAAGAATCGATCGCTTTAAATATGCATTTTTAAAGTCCAAATAAATAAAAATCGCGAGATGGAAAGGCACGCGATTATATATTTTTCCTGAAAAGGTCGTTCAATCGTAAACTGTCGAGCACCGGTCAGTAACCGGCGACAATTACGCTTATCACGGGAATGGGAGATTCATTGTGAGAGAAAGAGAGAGAGAGAGAGAGAGAACAACGAAGGTTGCGACGATAACACGGCCAGTGTGGAAGAGACCCCGAGATTTCGCCTCGTTACACGAGTTGGACGAAACTGGCACGAGCCGACTGTGGTAAATGGGCGCCGCGGAGTTATCGCCCCAGTTATCGAGTTTTCGTCGCTCGATTCCGCCGTGTTTGCTCTCTTCCCTCTCCCCTGAATAGACCGTTTCATATCCAAACAATTGCGTCGCTCCCGTGAAAGCTTCCGCCGGTGTCGGCGCGGAGCACACGCCGCATGGAGCAATATCGGATGCTGTAAAATACGACGCTCTCGTGCATCTATATCCCCCGGCGCGGGTG